GTGGACTGCAAAAAACCCATTAGTTTAATATTTTTTTTGTCTTGTTTTCTAATAAAAATAATAAAATAATAATATAATATATATCATATAATAATAATAATCAAGCAAATAATCAGTTACTATGATTAGTAGGGTCATTCCGTGTCAACTCAACCAGAGGTCCCCGGCTCAAATTTATGATTTTGCTAATATTTTTTCTGAAGAAATATAAACACGATAAACAAAGCCAAAATATTAAATGTCATGGATGAATATTTACTGAGTAATCCGCTTTTTTGTAGAGGGGGGTCAAAATGGCAATTTTCACCTGAGATTCAGAGCTAATTTACAGGGGGCTAAAAATGACTTCAGAAAGATGGCAGCATCATAATGTTACTTTTACACAGAGATTGGTAGGTCTATTAGTAAAATCTGTTGACTTTAGCAATCTTTATTGCATTATGTGCCAATTGTGACCGTTCAAAAATTGGGAAAGAGCACTTATCAAGTTTTATCTCCAAAGTTTGCAGGCCTGTAACTCAAAAAGTATTAAAGATATCTTAAATAACTGTCCGAGTGCCATAAATATTCTTTTTCCAAAGTTTGCGTGCTTATAACTCAAGAAGTCTTAAAGATATCACAATATGATTTTAGATTCTAGTTCTTAATATACTTTTCTTTTGAAAACTTCATTTTCAAGGCCCTACATCATTCAGTCCCATAGATAGGGGGGTCTCAATGAGGCTCCAGATTGGTCAAAAACCAAATGTTGGTCACTTTGTATACAGTCTATACTTATTTAATTTAAAGAACAATGTCTGAAGAATAAATAATGTTGAAATTAGAATTGTATCTTGTTTCCTTCTAACAAAACAATATGTATAAAACATACCTGTCGGAGTGCTTAAAACACACTGAAATGGACAAGCTGAGGCACATTACCTTCTTTCAGTAGTCTATTCATAAGATTATATATTTGAATCATTTTCAGGGATATTTTGATATTTCAGGGATTTTGTTCATTTTAACAGCTTCTGAAGCTACCAAGAGTTCAGATATGCAGTATTGTAACATGTTTGAAACAAATCCCATGCCTCCTAGGGAAAAGTGGCTGCTTTTACCACACATTGCATTCACATCAATAAACCAAGATTTTTCCTCATCTGGATTAATTACTAAAATTTATTTTTCTTTTTTATTGTTATATAATGTGAAACTTCATCAGATTAATTAGTATCTACTGCTAAAGGGCATATTTGGCAGAATCACTGATAGTACCTCAAACCTTTAAAGGAGTCATATGATGCTATTTTAAAGATCATTATTTTTTGTATTTGGTGTAACAGAATATGTTGACATGCTTTAATGTTCAAAAAACACATTATTTTTCAAATACTGTACATTATTGTAGGTCCTCTATGCCCCGCCTCTCTCAAACACGTCGTTTTCAACAAAGCCCCCCCTTTAAGATCTCTCACACTTGGAATAATTAACACCGGGTAATTCTAAACCCCAGGTAAATGGGATCCTGAGTAATCATATTTTACATTTCACACTGTGCATATTTTACCTAGAGTTAATAATTAATCCTGGTCATTCATAATCTGATGAATTCTTCAGATATTCTGCTTTATATACAACTACATAAAAACGTTTGTCAAGACAAACTTTAGGTTGGCTTGAGAAAGCCTAGCCTAAAAGTTTAAAGCAGCTGTAAAAGCTTCATGTTTGAAAATTTAGATAAATTAGAAAATTAGCATGTTGCTAGCTTGATTAGCATGCCGTTAGCATGTTGCTAATCATGTTTCTATGATTAGCATGTTGCTAACATGATTAGCATGTAGTTAAATTGTTGCTAATCATGTTTCTAGCATGATTAGCATGTAACTAGCATAATTAGCATGAAGTTAGCATGTTGATAGCAGGTTCCTAGCATGATTAGCATGTTACTAGCATAATTCTGGCATGTTATACTGTATACTGTATATACACATACATGTATAGCATGTTGTTACCTTGTTACCTAATAAGTATCAGCTGTATACAAAGTGACCAACATTTGGTTTTTAAGCGCTGAAAATGGGTAATATTCAAGGGGTCATATGACGTTGCTAAAAATAAAATTATATTGTGTATTTGGTGTAATGCAATGTGTTTATGCGGTTTAAGGTTAAAAAAACACATTATTTTCCACATAATGTACATTATAGTTGCTCCTCTATGCCCCGCCTTTCTGCAACGCGTCGATTTTTACAAAGCTCATCGGTCTGAAAAAAATCGCATCATATGACCCCTTTCAACAATATGAAACCTCTTTGAGACCCCCCTATCTTTGGGACTGAATGACGTAGGGCCTTGAAAATTAAGATTCCAAAAGAAAAGTTTATTAAGAACTAGAATCTAAAATCATATTGCGATATCTTTAATATCTTTAAGATATTTATGACAGTAATGTTCAATGCAGTTGTTTTGACAGAAGGAAATGAGATACATCTCTAGTTTCAACATTATTTGTTCTTCAGACATTTCTCTTTAAAAGAAAAGAAGTATCATATTTTTGCAAATTGATCCACATTTGGTTTTTGACCACTAAAAATGTGTACAATTTAACGATTTACCCCAGGAGCCATATTGAGATCCCAATATCTCTGGAACCAAGCCATATAGGGCCTTAAAAAACATGCCAAAAGAAAAGAAAGACCCAAAATCTAAAAGGGCACTAAGATATCTTTAATACTTTTTGAGTTACAGGCCTGCAAACTTTGGAGAAAAAGCACTTGAAAAGTGCTCTTTCCCCATTTTTGAACGGTCACAATTGGCACATAATGCAACAAAGATTGCTAAAGTCAACAGATTTTACTAATAGACCTACCAATCTCTGTGTAAAAGTAACATTATGATGCTGCCATCTTTCTGAAGTCATTTTTAGCCCCCTGTAAAT